GTGAAACACGGAGTGTTGTCAACAACGGTGCCGACGTGGCGTATCTTGAAAAGTTCGTTCTCTGTCGCGCGTGACGATTATATGCCTTGAAAGAGAAATGGAAATTAATAACTCACTTTCCTAGATTAATAAATCTTAGAACTTGTAAATATATGCTGATCTTATTCTTATAATATTAGCAATGTTAAATTCTAGTTTGGTTATTAATGGTTTGAAAAATGAAGTCCTTGGATGAGAAAAATTGATTAGCTTCAAACTGATAAATGGGCGTAGAACCACATTTATTACTTTATTTTCTCCTTACGATTAGACATCGTAATAAGCGCCATCTGGAGAGATTTGGAAACAGTTGTGGGTTCATTATTCTTGACCAAGTCCTTAATTGAGAATAAATTTTTACATTAATATATTGAAAATTAACTAAAATTAATGAGTCTGGTGTAGAAATGAGTATTCTTTATTTTGGCGCGAAACACTACAAACAAGTACAGTGATTATCAAACAAATTTCACAATGTTATACTGTCGTCTGTACATATGCCACGTTGTATTCCTTTCTGCTGTTCTCGAAATATTGAGGTTATTCCAAAGTATTGTAGCCTAATACAGCATCGAAAGAATTTTAACACCAAATCCTTAATTATGTGCATTTTGTTCATTATTTTAATCGTCAATTTATTTACCGTCCATTATATCGATTTATCCGTTTAGTCTTATAAGTTGACATTCTTAATTAAGAAGGACCTTGTCAAAAATAATGAACCCACAACTGTTTGCAAATCTCTTCAGGTGGCGTTTATTACGCTGTTTAATAATAAGTAAAGAATAAAGTAATAAATGTGGTTCAACGTCCATTTATCAGTTTGAAGCTAATCAATTTTTCTCATCCAAGGACTTCATTTTTCAAACCATTAATAACCAAACTAGAATTTAACATTGCTAATATTATAAGAATAAGATCAGCATATATTTACAAGTTCTAAGATTTATTAATCTAGGAAAGTGAGTTATTAATTTCCATTTCTCTTTCAAGGCATAATCTTCACGCGCGACAGAGAACGAACTTTTCAAGATACGCCACGTCGGCACCGTTGTTGACAACACTCCGTGTTTCACTTCCAATTCCCTAGAGGTGACTGATGTTTGATGGGACGACGAATGATAGTACAAACGGAACTTTCTCTAATAAAACCCTAACGAAGTTAACAATAAGTCGATTTCAATTTGACTTATGTTTCTTGCTTCCAATATGTCTCGCATATTTCTTATTGATTTCCATAGTGTTCTCTGTTCTCTTACTCTTTCCAATACCTCCTCATTTCCAACCTTCTCTATTCACGGTATTCTCATTCTTCGAACGTCTTTTCCTACGGTCCCATCCGCCACATTTCTCACTCGTACAGCGCCGTACTCCAGATATTATACACATTTAACAATCTTCGACGCTACCCTATCTTTTATTTTACATCTTTACTGTTTCTTCCATATCTGACTTCCTAGATTCCCGTACAATTTCCCATAGAGGCATTTTAATAATTTTAATTTCTTTTTGTTTTCGTCGTCGTACAGTTCGTATATTAACGTTTCCGTTCTCAAAATTTTTAGAGTGGAACAATATATTTTCATACATGTTTTCGGCAATATTTTGTAATAATGTAGATGGCAGTTAGATGTTCTGGTAACGTCTTAACGTGCTTTTGAAATATTATATCAAATGGAATGTACGAGGAGGGAAGAAAATATTAAAAATTTCGAGCAGCAAATCATTTATCACCTCGTCGCCGTAGTTAATTTACCTAAAACGTCTCATCTTAAAAGATCTACACAAATTCTTTGACAAATGATTGCACCAATAACGCGGCGTCGCGTCGCCGACCTCCCGGAAGCGGAAAAACGTGTAGTCATGGACACCGGAAGTGACAAATTATGTTGTACTTAGTCCGGATTTATTTTTCTTGTCCTTCGGATCTCATAACCTGCACATCGACCGAAAGGCGAAATATGTCCGATGTTAAACTTTTTTTTTTCTTTTACTTTACTCGCACAGCCGGCTATTCATTTTCATCAGATAATTGTGCGAAAGATAAGAAGTAATTTATCAGGTTTTACTTAAAAGAATTACTCGGCGTGACGATTAATCTTTTCAAATTTTACGTCTTCTTCCTTTTATGTTTTATTATGGTTATCGTGACGGAGGGAACGCTAAACAGGATTAAATACTGATTAAACCAGTCCAGTCGAATTTTTGTTTACGATGAAACGACAATATTTTATATTAATTAATAGATAGCAGAATATTATCATGCAAGAGAGAACGCAGGGGAGGGTTTTTGGGGGGTTGTAACTGTATGAGAAATTTGCACATTCTTTACATTTTATGTTTTCATAATGACATGTAACTTTTTAAATAGTTTGTTGGTAGAAGATAGAATAGTAGTTCTCCGATAAATTTTCAGGGATACGTTTAAAGATATGTATTTTTGAACGTATATTGAAGGATGTTTGGGAGGTATGTCAAAATACTACGAGACAAATAAAAATTTGGAAGAACGTTCCTCATTCAATTCTAAAACTCCTGTAAAAATTACAAATCGATTCACTAAACCGTTAAAAAGTTATTGAAATTTTAAAAAATTGTAATTTTACACGTCATTCTATGGAGATTCGTTAACCGAACAGATTAAATTTATTTTTATTAACAGAAAAAAAGCTACCAGAAATTTCAAACTTTTATAATAAGTAACTTGAACTCTGGAGAATCACTTTAGCGTAAGGTTATTCAAATTCACTAAATGGTTATCGAGGAAAAAATGAAAAATTAGCTGAAAATCTCGTTTTTACTTGATAATATAATGATAATATTTATAATTGTCTGAAATAAATGCAATTTTAAAGTTTTAATTATTATTTAAACATATTAAAAAGTTTTACGCTCATTATTAATAGAGATTGAAACTAAATATTTTTTTGTTTCGAAGTTGAAATCAAGGCATATTCACTGCCAAAAGTCAGTTAAAAATTTTCCATATTATTCGTTATTTCTTACTTTATTTAAAGTTTTTGGTTAAATTCCAAATTTTCTTTCAAACCGTATACTTTTTTTTAGTGTATATAGTATCTATTTACCTCATGATATGCTGCAAAACCTAATCAATCACGAATTTCTAATTTTATGTACTCTTGTCTCCGATTGTACCTCCCAAACACCCTTAATTTCCTTCAAAGTTTTTTAATTGGCTTATACGCCCCTATGATTTGAGACCCTCGAGATGCATTGTTTATATTTGTATTGAAACGTTTAACAAGGATGTAGTGTGTAAACTGGATTTAGACACCTTTCTAGTTAACGATAAATAAAAAAACATAATTAGATTGATTCTCTATATACATAGTATGTATGTTAGCCACAACATTCTTCCCATCAAAAGTAGGATAAGGGAACATTTGACTTATATAAAAACCTTTACCACAGAAGTTAATATAAAATCTTAACTTCTATTGTTTAATGCTCCGTCTCCATGGCTCATACTACGATAAATAAAGTCTAAAATCTTCGACACAGTGAGGGCTTTATATTAAAAAGATTAATTTAAAAACTAACTCGCAGTTCCAGAGATTATCCTGGATGAACTATCTACTATTGGTAACCATTCGAATAGTAGTGATTTTTAATGAAATCCGTCATGATTCAAGTATTTTTGAGACGAGCTAGATTTAAAATTAATCTGGAATTTTAAGGAAGAGATCATAGCGAATTGTTGGGCGAGGAGTTGGATATTTCGTGTGCAAAACCCGTTCTCGTGGCGGTTTACACATTAAAGAGAATCGTAAGGAATAAAATAAAGTCGTGGGCGTCATTTAACTGCTTCATGGAGATGTTTTGCGCATTTTTGCTCCATTTGCTCGCCACTTAAACTTGATGATTTCTCCAGCTCTGCTTCCTCATAACGAATATAAAGCATATTTTGCGGCTTTTCGCGTCTCCCTAGCAGATTCTATTACGCCTAGGGGATTGATATTATTTGCTCAAAGTTTTCCCAACTTCCTGAGTACCGAATAAACGGAATACATTATATATTACGTGTATGTATAAAATGGAAGCGGTACTGTCAGATCAGTACTGTATGAAAATAAATAAAAGTAAAACTAAAATACTGGTGTGCAAGGGAAGAAAAAGTAGGGAAAGAGCGAATATAAAGATAGGAGACGAAAGATTAGAAGAAGTGGCTGATTTTAGATACCTAGGAAGTCAGATAAGTGAGGATGGAAGGAGTAGTAGGGATATAAAGCAGAGGATAGTGCAGGGTCGTGTCGGCTTTAATAAAAAGAAGTCACTTCTATGCTCGCGAACGGTTAATTTAGAAATTCGAAAAAGGTTGTTAAAGGTTTATGTTTGGAGCACGGCGTTGTACAGGTGCGAAACATGGACAGTGGGAGCGGCGGAAAAGAAAAGGTTAGAAGCGTTCGAAATGTTGTGTTATAGGCGGATGATGAGGATGTCGTGGGTAGAAAAGGTTAGAAATGAAGAGGTATTGGAAAGAATTGGAGAACAGAGGTCTCTATGGAAGTCAATAAAAAATAGGCGAGATAGGTTGGTAGGACACCTTCTCAGGTATGGAGGTCTAGTCAGAGACATATTAGAGGCAGAAACAGGAGTTAGGAGGGGTAGAGGTAGACCTAGATTAGATTACTGTTCGCAAATAGTTAAGGATGTGGGCTGTTCTAGTTTTAGGGAAATGCGAAGTTTAGCTCAGGATAGGAAAGAGTGGAGGTACGTGCCCAACCAGTCTTAGGACTGATGACTTTATGATGATGATCAATGGAATAATTCTTTTAGTTAATTTTTTAATCATTGTCACTACAGGAGCATTTAATAATGCAAATCATACTTAATAATATCAATATTTAATTATTCGTTCCTGCTGTTATTGATTAATAATGAATCTGTAATCATTTCTGTGATGTTGTATGTTTAGATTTTATTTGTGTCTTTCTTTACAGCTGGAGAAACTAGATACAATTGCAGCGCCATCGACTATTTTTCAAAGGAAGAGTATAATCCAGATCCTAGCGATTCTACCATGGCAATACCATGTAAGTGTAGATTTCCTGTTTTGCTTTTTAATACCGATAGAAATTACACATTGTATTTGTCGGCCATTTTGTTTTGCTGTTACACGAGCAAAAGTTCATTATTTGGTAAACGTATGGAATGTCTCTAAAAACTATCTGAACTCTTAAAATCTTTTGAACGAAAGCATTACCCATTAGAAGTGACCGATTTTCGGTATCTAGGAAGTCAGATAAGTCAGGACGGAAGGAGTAAGGAGGGATATAAACCAGAGGATAGCGCAGGGTCAAGCCGCCCTCAATAAAAGGACTTCTATGCTCGCGATCAGTTAATTTAGAAATTCGTAAACGATTGTTAAAGATGTATTTTTGGATGACAAGATAGGAAAGGGTGGAGATGCGTGTCTAACTAATCAGAACTGACGACCTTATGATAATGACAATGATGAAGATGACTAAAGGGATTTGTACGAATTCCAGGTGCAATGTCATATTTTTCAAAAACTGATGTCGCACTTTTTAATGATTTCTTGTAATAATAGAACATCACTATAGAGGTTGATTTAAATCTTCACGACTGTTGTCTGAAGAAACTGGATTTCCGGATTCTAATCGCGTCTTATTTATGAAATTCTCATGATGAACCATGACGTCAAAAGTTTTCGAGGGTTTGTCTCCTAGTACAAGGCACATCTTCAGGAACTTCACGATGTCGATGCAGGATCTCCAACGCTGGTGTTTCCGTCATAGGGATTTCATCAAGAAGACGCTGTTAGAATCCGGAAATCCAGTTTCATCAGAATATTCCCGCCCATTAAAAGACATTGATGTCAAAATAGTTTGTATACCGTGAAAGGTCAGAAACAAAATAATGTTGCAAATAATTTTATTGATGTAAAGTCAACATCAATCATTTTATATCAAAATATTTACAACCCCATTTTGTTTCCGATCTCTTACACATTATAATAAGAAAAAGAAATAGAATCCATAGAATTTCGCAGTTTCTTGCTATAGGCACGATAAGTGATGTTTTGGCAGGTACTGATATCAATATGGAACTTCAAAATTCCATGGATCATGACATTGAATCCGGAAAACAATATCGATCCAATATTTTTGATTATCCATTTTCAAGGAGTTTAGAATATTTTGGCTCTTTTCAGTTAAAGAATTAGAAGGCATTTTAAGCTTCTAATATCTTCAATAGCTGTTAGCAACTTTCATTCATCATTTTATGTAATGTTTGATCGGTGAAACCAGCAAAACTTTTAACGGCAAAAATGTATTTTGCATTTTACAAATAGAAAATACGTTTGGAAAAATATTTTAAATAAAATACAAAATGCTTTTCTCACAATGGTATTTAAATGAAAGATACTTTTTTTTTGTATTTGCATTTTAATTGCAAGCATTTCAAATAAAATCACATCTCTGTCCATAATATTTTTTTTTTGAAATCGTTGTTGCAAATTCTTGTTGTGTTAAGTACCAATTCCATTGATAAATCGGATTTCAGTAAAATTTGTCAGTCTTATCCCATAATCCGATAATTCCAAGGGAGCCTCGGCTCTTTTAAATGAAACTTTAAAGTTTCCGGTACTTCCTTTGTAATTTAGTCAGTGTAAATATGAAATTCTACCTTCATCTATTTCTAATTTTATTATTACTTGTGTGTTTTTGTTTTATACGAATGTCAAAGAAGTTGTTCAAACTTTGAATCTGTATCAATCTGTCTAAAATGAACTAGGTAGTTATCTGTTATTCCGGTTTATATTAACCGAGAAAGCTTTCTATCCTATTTAAAAGTTTTATTTACTTTTGTATTAATGTATACGTGAGCATATTTGCTTCAAACTTTAATTTGAAAACTTCGCCACCATATAGTCTGCTATAGGAAATCGTTATTGACATATTTTGCTCAGAAAATATAGTACTTATAGGCACACATGAATGTACTATTAGTAACATAATAGTAACAAAATAAGAAAATTTTATTAAGAAAATGTAAGAAATGGATAACAAAATCTTTAATTACTTTTTTTTTTAATTGAAATATACCTGTATAAGTAGTGTATAGGCAGGTGGTTTTCCTTTGGTTTTCTTTAATTATTTTTCTTCAACTACTCCATTTCATCATAATTACTTCGATTTTTCTTTTAGTTTCAATTTAGATCTGCTTGTTTAACGATTCCTTGCTGACTGAATAAAATTATTCTCATTATTTCTTTAATTAAAATTCATGTTATTTTCATGACAGTTCTGAAGAAAAAGACGACTGGCATTAAGACAGTCGAAGCATTTTGAAAGGCAAACAAAAATGAAAAGGAACTTTTAATTATGAATTCCCTTTCCCTTGATTTAAAACCTCTAAAGTCAATAGCATCAGCATTCAAGGAATGAAATAATTACAGCAATAATAATAATAATATGAAAACTTCATCAAAAAATCTATTTTGGTTGTACAATTTGTCAGATATTAGATATTTGTCTTAAGTTATACTAGTCCTTTCCCTGCCCCCAGCAATTTTTATTGCTCTACTATGACGTAGCATCGGCCATCATTCTTTTCTAATTGTTGCAGTTGTCGGCCATCATTCTTTTTCAATTGTTGTCGCATTGTTACTGATGTCGGCCATTATGGTTTTTAATAGATGTATAGTAATCAATGATTAAAATTTAAAGGAATCGTTTGTAAATAGGTATGCAACACATCGTACACTTCAGCATAAGAAATTGCTGATACTAACTTTCATTTACATAATACTACTTTGCCCTTTGCTGACATCACTCATAATTTTTTTTATATGTAATATTTAATTAATAATTGATGCAACAGTAATTAATAGGCAATTTTAAAACGGATTTTAAGCAGAGATGAGACGGGCACCTTGTTTGGATTCGATTTTAAAGATGACTATTTTTTACTTGAATTTTGAGTATTTTATGGCCAAATTTGGCACTTTGGTTTCAATTTCTGTAGCAAAGAATTCCGTTATATGCAGTAGGCAAAATAGAGATATTCATTATTAACGAAGTCATTTGTGAAAGATAAATTTGATATATTCTGTTTTTCTTGCAGATGCTGTAACGAAATCGGTGTTTTTCTTCGCCTTGGCCACCCTTTTGGTAGCGGCAGGTTACATATGTTGTCTTCTAGGTCAATGTTCCAAACATCGTCGATTGTTTACCTTCGTGTCTGGAGTCGTGTTTGTAGTTTCAGGTAAGCAAACGTAATTATAGACTAAATTCGGGACGTAATTCCTCCTCACAGGTATATGCTCGTGCATAATAGCAGTGTATCCGGATACACCATACGGATTAGAGACTCTCGATTTACTTTGAATTAGTCATTTGGTGTGCATTACTCACTAATGAAAGGGGCAAACTTGCCCCTCATCCTTTTAATTCCTATCAATATTTTGAGTTACTTTCTTTACTCAATATTCACGTCTCATTATAATTGGGACTTTGTTAGATCCTAACTGATTTACCATACACTAATATCCTGCAGGTTTGGTAATGTTACTGGGCGTCATCATGTACATTTCCGTATTCAAATCGGAAGTGGGTAGCAAGTTACGTCCCAAATCTCAGCTTCATCCTCCAATCTTCAACTATCGTTATGGTTACTCGTTCCTTCTTTATCTGAGTGGAATTGTGGCATCAGAGTTGGCCGGTTTGAGCGCCATCTTCCTCTTCATCTGTCGCATGCAAGAGACCTTCCGCTTGCAGAATCTTGAGGATGTGAAACTGGGAAAAGCGGGACCATCATCAGTGAACTATCTCCACGTGGACCAGGCCGTCTTCTACCCCTGTCAACGTCATCCGCAAGCCTACATCAATTCAAACAGTTCCATCCACGTCCCCACAAACTTTCCCTCGCCGGTGCAAAATAGGCGGTACTTTTTTGATAAACAGCAAGTGCAAGAGTCACCCACGTGCGTGTTTCGACGTGAAAGATCTCCCCATGCTAACTCTCTCAAAGACATTAGTGCAAGCTATTTTGATTTTCCTCCACCGCCGACGATAAGTTATCAATTCGAGGAGATGAAGACTTTCAACAGAGATACCACGAGGTGAGTGACGTTTATGCCCTACTTGCGGAGAAACCCTAATGAGTCCCGACAAATCCTGCCAAAATATTACTCCACATGTCCTTTTTGAAGATCACTACCAAATTTACTTAATGGTGTTCATTCTGAGACAGATTTTTGTCGTAAATTTTAGATCCAAAGTTTTTGATTTGCACATTGTTTTGATATTTTCAAGTTGGGATACTTAAAATTTACATTTGGAAACAACATTTTCGACTTGTGTTTTTGAACAGTACAACAATTTTTGTTTCAGGTTCTAGTGGTTACATAAAAGTTAATATGCTGAACCCTGTTTCCAGAACTGCATTTCCACGTGACGTAACCACTAATACTGTATCAACCACCGCGGACATCAACTGTGAAGAATTCTTCGTCAGCGAGCATTACAACCACCAGTACTCCCCGTACGCAGGGAGCGATAACGTATTTGTTTCGTTCGATATGGGACAACCTCCACCACCCGTGAGGACGCAAAGTACCCTCTCAGTTAGCTCAAGGGCTGAAAACGAGTACAACAGTGACAGTTTGAAAAGAACTACCCCCGTTTGAGACTAGTAGTTACAATCATTGCGGGGACGAGTTACAGTTAATCAATTATCATGATAAATTTGAAGCAAGTCACTGCTAAATGTTTTGAAGTTTATATATACCTATAACAGGGTAAATTCGGAGGAATATTTTTCAAAATTGAGGTACTTTTTCTATTTGTTTAATAAATTAACAAATCAGTAAAATTAACTGATACCAAAATGGTCCTTTTTTATTTAATTTATTTTTATTTTGTTTATTTTCAGATTCTATGTTTTCCCTTATTTACTTATTGGTTGTTTTTATTTCGTCTTTTCATCTGCAGGTAAGAATTAGTTTAGCTTTTAATTTCTTAATTTTGATTTTTAATATATAGTTTTTGATAACATTTTAAATTTCTTCTTGTGCTTCATATTCGTTGGGTTTATTTTATAAATTATGCTTTTTAATATTGCATAATGCCTTTCTCATAAACTTGACAATCACAATGAGTTTGTCAATAAAACAATTAATATCAATTAAAGTTCAGGATTCAATATTTTATTGTTATTAATCAATATTAAAAGTTGTAACACTTTTAAAATCAGTAGAAATTTAAATTCTAAGTTCTTTTGTATTTAGCTATCTTTTTATTTCATTTTTTTTTTCTTTTAAGAAAGGGGAAGATTAGCAATTGAAGGAACACAAATCAGAGTCGATTGAAAAGGGCCGTTTGGTGAGTNTTTTTATTTTTTTTTTTGTTTGTTTATAATTATTTTTCTATTTTTTTTTATATACCGCCAATAAAGTTTGCGTAAATCGTAACTTTAGATATAAGAGTTGAATTTTACATGGACAAAACCTCCTCCGAATTTTATATAAATGTTTGGGAAAGAAAAATCCGAATGCTCACTGCAATGTAAACATTGATAAGTAGTTCTTAAAAAAGACTGAATTTAAAAACTTGTATATGTAATTGATTATTATTATAAAACGTATAATTTAGACTGCATACAACATGAAACTGTTAAATATTTAGTGACTTTTGTAAATGTTAATGTTTTCTATATAATTTTGTTGAGTTCACAAATATAATTGAAAAAGTTAACAGCAATCGAACACCTTTTTTTATCTCAAAGGTGGAATTTCGAAAAACTAAATCAAGTGATTTAATTAGATAGGTAGGTAAATATTATGAATGTTTTGTATATATTTTTCATGTGCTTTTCAACTCCTTACAATTATAGAAAGAAAAATAAAACCAGATAACTTAAATAATGTAATATACATAGATTTTTTTAATTTGTGTATTTTTACACTGTAGGTAGTAGGTATTAAATTTGTTAATAAGCTTTTTTCAGTTTCTATTGTAATAAATTAGTTATAGGTGTTACTGATAACCAAATTTATATTTGTACTTAAGAAAAAGTTTATTAAGGTTTTCAAAGATAACAAAATTAATTTCATAAAAGAAAAGCAACTGATGGAGCTACTAAAGGAGAAAGTAATCTCTTTTAATTATTAAGAAACATCATAAATTAATAATTGAAAAATAAATAAATAAAGTAGGAGACTCAACCCCAATTACCACTAACATATTCTTATTGAGCGGACACGTGTTTCGCCTACTTCAAACGTGGGCATTATCAACGCGAGACTGGTTCTAAAATTTAAAATTTTATCTATTTATAGGGGCTGAGGTTGAGGACCAAAAAGGAAAGAAGGGTTGGAAGGGAAACGTGAAAACGTTCAATGCCATTTGTAAAATATTTAAAAACCAATGCTATTGGTCTAAGAAAAGTAACTTTACAAATGTATGCTTTGGCAAACAAGTAAGGAAATGGGTAAAGGAAATGTGTGTGTTCAACAACCGTTGATAATATAATGCTTCACAATTCGAAATTAAATTGCGATTAAACCTATTGCAATAGTTGGAACAAGACAGAATTAGGTATTGGACCAAAATCTGAATCTGAATCTAAAATATATATCATATTGCTCACTTTAGACTAAACAGATTTGATAAGTCAAGTGTTGCCCAGCAAATTTTTAAAACAAACCACCCTATAGGCCCTAAATGTTTAAAATTAGTCAAAGAAGTCTCTTGCAAATCCGAACTTGACGTTTGGGAAAGTTTATACATTCAAACGAACAAATATAATCTTATGAATTCAGATTTTGGTCCAATACCTAATTCTGTCTTGTTCCAACTATTGCAATAGGTTTAATTGATTATAGTATTAAGCCTTTTATTTACCCCCATATCCCTACAGTTTTCGAATTTTGAAACAAGCTTTCCCAACTGCGGTTATTGAACACGTTCTTTAATTGTTTTGCCCTTTTTCACCTGAATTAAGCATGTTATCGTGAAGCATGCGTTATTTACATAATATTGGTTTAGAAAGGCTTTTTAGATGTATTAACGGTTTTTGAGCACACATACATTTGTAAAGTTATTTTTCTTAGCTCAACAGCATTGGTTTTTAAACATTATACAAATGGTCTCCTTGTTTCTATTTTTATTTCAATTAATATTTTAAGATTTTTCTTAATAATTAAAAGAGATTTACTTTTTCCTTTAGTAGCTCCATCAGTTGCTTTTATTTTATGAAATTAATTTTGTTGTCTTTGAACCTTAATAAAGTTTTTGTTAAGTACAAATACAAATTCGATTATCAGTAACACCTGTAACTAATTTCCACGTCTTTAATTTCCAGGATTCTGGGGAGACTTCTGGACACCAGGAACTCAACAAGGCATCATCGCGAGAGGTTTCTGAACACCAGGAGTTCAAGGAGACGTCAGGGCATCAGCAAATCAACAGGACGTCATCGTGGAAGGCTTCTGGACATCAGGAGTTCACCGAGCCGTCATCGAGGGAGACCTGCGGACACCCGGCCCTCAACGGGACGTCATCCGACGAGGGACACCAAGGGCTTCGAAATCTCCCGAGATTTCGAAGTTCCTTTGGACTTCGAAGGATCCTAAAAGGATCAACTCTAGGACTCGGAGTCCCAGAGTTGATCCCTTGGGATCCTTGGAAGGACCAAACACTTCGAAATCTTGGGAAATTTCGAAGCCCCAACGCGGGGGGTGGGGGCTCGTTCGGAGCCCTCATCGCGGGGGAAGGGGGCTCGATCGGAGCCCCCTTGCGGGGGATGGGGGCTCGATGGGAGCCCCCAACGCGGGGGGAAGGGGCTCCGTGGGAGCCCCAGGGCGGGAGAGGAGGGGGGATGTAAAACAAAATTTTATACAATGTATTTTATTTATTAATAATAAACAAATATATAAATAACAAAAAAATTTTTTTACGACTCCCGGGTAACGCTTTGAAAGTTTTTGTGATTCGAAGCCGCTCCGGTGACGATCCGGAGGATTTTCCGCGCCGAAGAAAGTCATGACCCCCCTTTCAGGATGACATCCCAATGGTGAAAATACAATTTCCAAAGTCGAGGATGATTCCCCACTGCGAAGGTCGTCTTCCAGCAAACAAAACCATCTTCAACGATGAGAAAAATCCTCATCGTTGAAGATGGCTTCGTTCGTTGGTCGACGATCTTCGAAGCGGATCCTCACCTTCGAAGTTGGAAGTTGTCCTCCACCATCAGGATGTTATCCTGGAGGAGTCCGCGATCCCGGCACCGATGATGAAGGAAGAATCCCCCGATGGGTCCATGAAGACGTCTTCCTGAGATGCTGATGCTTCTACTGCTGAAACAAAATCAACTTTATTAAAAATAAATAAGCTAAATAACAATAACATGCAAGTATGAGTAAGTAAAAGAATCTTAAGTTAAAGTGCAAAAATAAAGAAAGAAATATTAAGAGATGATGTTAGTAGAAAAAGGAAAAGGTAAAATGTTAATTAATACAGCACAATAAAAGAAAAAAATTAAAAAGAAAAGAAGGTTTGAATGAACAGGTAAGTTTTAAATTTAAAACAACATACCGTTGGGACTCCACGGAGATCCTGATAGTACCCATAGGAAGCCCATGACGATGCTGTGGTACTGGGGTCGGTGTTAAGTTGATGAAGGTAAGTATGGTGCTGCTGATGACTTTGTTGCTGAAACGAAATTAAAATTGGTTTTATTTAAAAACAAATAAGTTATACACAGTTACAAAGAAAGTTTAAATTATAAAGTCTAGATTCAAGTCAAACTAAAAAAAGTAAATATCATTAAAAGTAAGATCAATGAGTAAAAAAGAAACGAAATTAAACGTAAGGATAAAAACAGGAAAAGTAATTATTAAAAGATCATGCTAGCACTAAAAAGAGGAAGGTAAATTTATTAAAGCAAATTAAGGAGAAATTAAAAGAGAGAAATAAGGCAAGGTTAATAGGTAAGTTTTAGATACTGATTAGCTTATTACAAGTCAAATTTAAATTCATATAAAGAACTTAACATACCTGATGGTGACCAAGGGAATCCCAATGCAATTCAGGTGATCCTGGGACCGATGATGAAGGTAGAATCCACCGATGGGTCCATGAAGACGTCTTCCTGAAATCCTGATGCTGCTAGTTCTGAAACAAAATCAATTTTATTAAAAATAAATAAACTATAATCATAACACAAACAACAAGGCTAGAAAAAACAAAACTAAATAACAATAACATGCAAGTATGAGTAAGAAAAAGAATCTTAAGTTAAAGTGCAAAAATAAAGAAAGAAATTTTAAGAGATGATGTTAAAAGTAAAAGGAAAAGGTAAAATGTTAATTAATATAGCACAATAAAAGCAAACAAAATTAAAAAAAAAGAAGGTGAATGAACAGGTAAGTTTTAAACTTAAAATTCATTTGAAGAACAGTACATACCATTGGGACTCAACGGAGGTCCTGATAGTACCCAAGGGAAGCCCATTGTAATGCTATGGTACTGGGGTTGGTGTTAAGCTGATGAAGGTAAGTATGGTGCTGCTGAAACAAAATTAGTTTTATTTAAAAACAAATAAGTTATACAAAGTTATAAAGAAAGTATACACAAGTCTAGAATGAAGTCAAACCAAAAAAAAAGTAAATATCATTAAAAGTATGATCAATGAGTAAAAAGGAAACGAAATTAAACGTAAGGATAAAAACTGGAAAAGTAATTATTAAAAGATCATGCTAGCAGTAAAAAGAGGAAGGTAAATTTATTAAAGAAAATTAAGGAAAAAATTAAATGAGAAAAATAAGGCAATGTTAGAAGGTAAGTTTTAGATTTTGATTAGCTTATTACAAGTCCAATTTAAATTAATATAAAGGACTTAACAAACCTCTGCAACCCCACGGAGACCCTGATGGTGACCATGGGAATCCCATTGCAATTCAGGCGATCCCGGGACCGATGATAAAGGTAGAATTCACCAATGGGTCCCTGAAGACGTATTGTAGAGATCCTGATACTGCTACTGCTGAAAAGAAATCAGTTTTATTGAAAATAAATAAACTATAATCATAACACACAAAACAAAGCTAGAAAAAACAAAACTAAAAAAACTAAATAACAATAACATGCAAGTATGAGTAAGTAAAAGAATCTTAAGTTAAAATGCAANGTACAAAATTTCGAATTAGAAATGGAGAATGAATGTTTTGTATAATCAGACAGTATCTGTTATTTGTTCATAAGGGGAGCAACCCCCTCATCTATCGAAGCCTAATTTCACAAAAATTACGATTACATAATATTAATTTGTATAAAAGTTATACGTTAATTAATTCTCAACTTCGAAAAAAGAAAAATCAAAATTCTAGTACTACCACCCAAATTTTGAGAACAAATGTCATAAGTGAAAAACTCACCGGACATCACGTTTCACCATTAATTTTCCAAAGTAAAAAACTCCACAATAAACAAAATACTTAACTGAATTTACTAACACTTTTTTATAGTTAATTAACTGTTTATACCATATAGTGAGAAAATCAATTGTTTTTCACTGATTTCACTAAATACTGCAACCCGAACCGGCATAATTCACAGATTTTCCAAAACAATTAATCCAAATACATAATCATCCAACACTATTTAATGAATGTGGAATTTTCCACTATGACAATCCAAGCAGTCACTAGAACAAAAGTCTGGTGGCGCTATCGACGAGCCTAAGTACGGAGAGCTTTCGAAGTGGTAGAAATGAAAAGAGATAATTTGCGAAATTAGTTTAAATTAATAAATAAAAAAGAAATTGAACGAACTATAGAAAAATATGATAATTTTTAGATTAATAATTTTTGGTATCCTAAGTCTACGAACCATTTAAAATAAGATTGTGACTATGAAATAGTTTGTCAGGGGGTCTGAGGGTTACTTACGGGGTGCATAAACCACCAATACTACAATTACCTTTTTCTAATCTTGTATTACAAGAACATTGTGTTAATTATGTATTTAATAGTTCGTAGGGGCTGATTTCTGAAATTAACGAGTCAATGTTGAAAGCACTCCATTGTTTTAAGTCTTTATGATTATCGGGAGGGTTGTTGTTTACTTTTAATATTTTTTTAATGCAAAATGCTCCTTTTGTCGTTAAGAATAATGTACCTTATTTCGAGCGTCATTTTCTGTCTTCTATTTTCCGAATACTTGCTCTCTTTAACAACGGTATGCTTGAACTGTCGACCGTGAGAAGTCATTTTCCTAGTTTTAATATAAATGGAAATTGGAAATTTGTTTTGAAGATTAATTCCTGATCTTTGAATAAATTAAACTTTTTTGAACTTGTATTACAAGGAGAAAATGTTTGCTTCTCCATTCTGTAAAATGTGGTATCTAATTTAGGATAATAAAAACTTAAATAAAACTGAAAGCCGTTTCATTGCCTTTAAACTATATAATCATCGAGGTGATTGTGATCTACTTTTTAATATTTTTTAAATAACAAAGGCTCCATTTGTCGTTTAGATTAGTAGAGCTTATTTTAATCGTAATTGTGCATCTGTTAATATCCGAATACTTGCCCTATTTAATAGTTCTACCCAGTAATTAAAAATTTGTCTAGAATATTAATGCCTTTTTGTACGTCATAACCCATGAGACCGTTTGTCAGGGGGTCTGAAGGCTATTTACGGGGTGCGTAAACCACCAATACTACAACTACCCTTTTCTAATCTTATATTACAAGAAGATTGTTTTAATTGTGTATTTAATAGTTCGTAGAGGCTGATTTCTGAAGTTAACGAGTCAATGTTGAAAGCACTCCATTGTTTCAAGGGTTGTTGTTTACTTTTAATATTTTTTTAATGAAAAATGCTCCAATTGTCGTTAAGATGAGTCTACCTTGCTTCGAGCGTCATTGTCTGTCTTCTGTTTTCCGAATACTTGCTCTCTTTAACAATAGTATGCTTGAACCGTCGACCGAGAGTATTAGACATTTCCCTAGATTTAATATAAATAGCAATTAGAAATTTGTTTTAAAGATTAACTCCTGATCTTTGAATAAAGTAAACTTTTTTGATCTTGTATTACAAGGAGAATATGTTTGCTTCTCCATTCTGTAATAAGTGGGATCTAATTTCGAAAAATAACGACTCAAATAAAGCTGAAGGCTCCAGAAAGGACTTTCATACACATAATGCCTTTTTAAAATTTTAAATTTCCTTTGGGTGTGTTGACTTGCCAAAGATGACGCAAACGTATAAATGATTTTCAATTTTCAATAAACACAACCAAGTTTTGTTAACCGTAATTAGATTATCGAAAGGCCGATGGCAATTACGTTTGAACCATTGAAAAGAAAAGACATTTATGCATACAGTGCCTTTTTCAAAACACCCGAATTTCATTCATTATCTTCCCAAAGATTCCGTAAATGTATGAATGTATTTCAATTCTCAACAAACACAACCAATTTTGTGAGCCACATTTAGATTATTGAAAAGCCGATGACAATGATAAGATTTCTGCTTATCGGGGTGATTGTGTTTTACTTTTATAATTTTTAAAATCAGAAAAGTTCCTTTTGTCGTTAAAATGAATCTACCTTATTTCGAGCGTCATTGTCTGTCTTCTATTTTCCGAATACTTGCTCTCTTTAACAACGGTATGCTTGAACGACCGAAAG